CGCAGGAATGGCTTGAAATGGAACTCTGGCTGCACGATGAAGAGGGCGATTTCGATGCACCTTCTGGACTCAATGCGCCGGGTTCTGGCTGCGTGCTTACTGAGTTTGGATTATCAGCTTGATTCAAAGTTGAGAACAGGCTGGTTCCTGATAAATTTGGAGAAGCTAGATCCGGGAAGTTTGAATAGAAGGAATCGATTTGAAATGCACCAGAGGCACCTTGAACTGAGTCGATGACAAGTTGAAGCTTCTGTAAGGAGTGACCAACCTTTTTGATCTTCCGAGAAGGCCAACGCTTTATCCCATGTTGCCGGCAGATCCTCTTCAAAGTTGTTGTGCAAACTGGAAAATGTTTAATTCAAAAGATGGTTATAATGAAAGACTACTACTATACGTGCACAGAAAAACTAACTGATAAAACACGAGCATATATGAATGTTAATAGAGTTTTTTCTGTTTTGGACATATAGGCAGAGCTAATAAAAATTACTAATATAAAAATAATATGTCAGAGAACTGTATTTGGAAATTAGAGCCAAGTTTTAGAAAAACTTTTCAATAAACATTTATAGGAGAAGAAAATAAAATCAGTGTAAACACCAACTTTTTTAGAGAAGCTCCCTTGTTTACCTTCTTCTTAACTACCTATATGATTAGAAAAGTTTTAAAGTAGGATTTTATGATTGAAAAGTTTCCATGGGCTAGAAACTAGTCCAAAATGTGCCATAGTATTGAGTAAGAAGACATGTTAGAACGGAACAATAGGGGATACAAGGTTTGATTCTATGTTTGATGCATTTTAAGAATAAAAAAGTGCAAGACATGAGGTTAAAAAAGTGGCTTGTGTTGGTTCGACTAGAAAGGGTGGAACAAAGAAGAATATAGTAGAATCTTTCAGTTCTATATGCGTGTCAAACACTACCTTAATGTTAGCACAGGAAAACAGAAAAAGGAAACATGCTCATGTAAAAAAGGCTTACCACCAATATTCTTGGCAGCATCTTTTAGGCTTCCAGCAAAATATTGTCTAAGAACTTGCAGAGTGATAGTTTTCTCTGCTTTGGCCCGTCTTCTCTCTACCGTTCTACTTATTCCTGCACCTGAGAAGTTACCCTCAACAGAAGTAGAACACTCCCTAACACAATCAAGGTTTCCTTTTAAAATAGGGTTTTCTTGTTGCCTCAGGTCAGAGAATTTTCTACACATAGTTTCACTTGATTTTTCTTTTTGTTGCAGTCCTGAACAAATTGCAGTCCTGGAAACTCCACTATCTGCAAGGCCAATCACTTCATCAACTGACAAGTTAGCTTCCTCCAATTCCTTATCTGATATAACCCGCAAGCTGCAACACACCCTTTGTATAATAATGGACAATGAAGTAAGCATCTTCCTCTGCTCTTCACTGTCATTGCAATCTACAGGCAAGAAGAACTCTAGAACAAAGTCATCGGTGCTATTATAGATGCTTCGAAGGCGTATGGCAACAGCAGCACGCAATCCTAACAACCTCGCATGATGAGACAGTGGATAATCTTTCTTGCTTAATGAAGTTATGTCAGTTGAGAAGCATGGTTGGTTTGTCATAAAAGCTCCACCAGCAACACCTTCACCTTTTAACAAGTGATGCTCAGTGCAAGCCTCATGAAAAGGCCTGATAGAGGGATCACGAACATAACAAGCCTGCTCCACAGGAGATATGCAGAGTAGATAATTATCATCAGAGTGCCGGCACCCTTCTTTGCCTTGTTGGACACATGGAATCCAAGTTTGAGCTAAAGGTAAGTTGTGCATTTCACATGCAGATCTCAGAACCTCTTGAATCTCAGGTAGTGCAGCATCATAGGACCTGTTGCATGCCTGATAAAATAAAACACAGTTGTCAAGTCACCAGGGAATTGCAAACTTAAGTTCTTTAAAATAAAATCCTCCCCTAAGTTGGTTTTCTATTCCATTTACCTTCACAATCTGAATATTTGAATGTTTCGAGCTTCTAAGATCAACAGCCTGCAAGTAAACAACATTCATCCAATCATCAAACTAGTATAATGAGTCTTTCATGTTTTTCATGTTAACCATTTGTTGCCATTAGCATTTAACCTACTCAAATATGTAAAAATAGAGCAATTTATTCACAAGGGAGAAAACATCATAGTACCATGAAAATATGAGTTCCCAAACAAGAAAATAGGAAATTTTGCAGAATCATGGTGGGGGTGTCTAGGGACTAAAGGGATACAGAAACAGAAATTCTTGAGCAGTTTTATCCCTTCAGAAACAGCAAATAACATGTTCAAAGCAACCTAAGATAAAATCTCAATGTTCTAAAATCTTGGTTCAACTTTTCCTGGGATATATACATACACACTTACGTATTCTAAAAATAATAACACGACAGAAATTCATGCAAATAGGAAAGGAGAAAAACCTCAAGCGCTTTACAAACACTCTCAAGTTCAGGGCCATAGTTGATCTGCTGAGTAGTCATGACAACCTCAATAACCCCCAAGCACATCTTGCTCCCTTGCTCAAAGATTGGAACTGCTAGTGTCCCACTCACATCATACTCTTGAGCATGGTCAACTCGGGGATACTCATCACTCTTAAAAAATCTAACATCAGGAGTCCACTCAGGAACCTTGTTCCTGAACACTCGACCCGGCAATCCCGGAACCAACTCCTTGGACTCACCCTCATCTGTTGAAAACTCATATCCCACCGAAATTTCGCGGTACTTTGCAAGGTTCACAGACCTTGATTCAAGCGAGAACAGAAGATCATTAGCAGCCAGAATAGGCCTACCCCCTCTATGAACCGGCACCCATATCTGTATCAGCATATCCTTGTTCCTATTGTAATCTTTGAACCAGGTGAGGGCCCTTAGCAGCTTCTCTGTTATAGAAGGCCCAGGTCCAGGACTAGGTGTGGGTGCAAACCACCACCTTTTAACCCCTTCAGATGCTCCTTCAACTGAATGAGCATCAAACTGAAACTGCATACCACTACCACCACCACCACCAGAAACAATATTAACCATGCTGTTGTGGCTTTCTTGTTGAGTCCCAAAAGCAGCATCATGGGATTCATTGTGGTTGGTCTCCAAGGCAGGCCAGGAGAATGAAGGGTCAAAGAGAGAATTGGAAAAGGAAGGACTTTGCAGCAAGAACTCAGATCCATCAGCAGAGGCCTCCAACCAACACCCATCTAAGAAAAGCTCACCCATGTACTCAAAATCCATTGAAGTAGTTCCATCAGGTGGTGGAGCTTCCATCATGGTACCAGATGATGTCACACCACCATCTCCCATCATGGGTGGCTGCTTCAAAAACCACAACTTTCTCCCAATACCACAAGTCTCACCTCTTAAACAGATCTCAAAATTCTTGTCTTGTCACAAGAGGCCAGGATAGGATGGCATAATATCTCCAAACGTTGTCCTTTGTCCAAAGTTGTCAATAATGTCAGTAACAGCAGATTATGTCTATCTATCTATCTTGCCAACGAATGATATGAGAGGAATAAGACACAGAAAGACAAAAAATGATGTTTCTTTTCTACTGAATATCTGAACAGAGTCAAAATAGCACAAGGTGTGATTTTGCAGAAGCAACCCGAAGTTTGGACACCCTCTTCAACAGAATATATTCGACGTCTAAATCCACAATGAAAAAGAGAATTAGACCAGAAAAACGGTGGCAGTGCTCAGAAAGATTCTCTCCCAACAACACTACACTTTACTGCAAATGATATGCAGGATTCCACCACTTGTGAGTGAAGCCAAAAGCCAATCTTATGAGGAAACCAGCAGAGTGAGGTGAAGTAAAGTTGAGGAAGAGAAAGTGAATACGAATAACTCGAAATGTAAAGATTCTTGAAGATACCCAACTTGGGTTTCTATTTTTTATTTATTATTTTATATATTGTTCGCACTCCACTGTTTGCTGTTTACTATAATGTCCCCCCCGGTTCATGCTAGCCCCAAAAATAATAATATAAAAAAGGGCAAAAAATGAATTTGGGGAATAATGAGGTAGTAAACATGAATATATAAAAGAGTGGTGAAAGGCAGTCCCAGGCAGAAGACAAGAAGAAAAGGGAGATTGTATAGTGTGTTAGTAGAAGGAGCCACCAAAAGGTGATGATTCCAAGTGAAGAGGGAGAAGATACTGATGCAGACTCATACCCCACTCGTTTGCCTTTGGAACTCTCGTTCTCCGGCTAAAGTCAAACCATGAAAACTATGCTACTTCTATCACAACACCTCTATCTCTATCATTGCTCAATGCTCAATGCTCACGCTCTCTAGTAATTTTTTTTTTCCTCTTTTAAGTTTAAGTTCGATAATATCATTATAAACTATAATTTTATTTTATTTTTCTGAAAATACATTTTCCGAACAACTCAAATTCAAAACATCTGATTAAACACCAACATTTTTAAGATTCAACTAATGTTGTCATTGGTATTCAAATTTAAAAAATACTTTAAATCTTGAATTTAATAAATAAATAAAAAAGACGATATAAAACATTAATTTTTAACTTTACAATGTCGTGATAAAAAAAAATAATTAAAAGGAAAAAAAACTTTTTACTAGTTAATCAATAATTTACTCTTAACTCTAGTTCCATGCCAATAGTTTTTATTGTTTATTATTATTTTTTATTTTATTTAATTTTTCAATTTCATTTTTATATTATTAAAAGAATCAATCTAGTTTCTTTATTAGTTAAAAAAGATCATAGTACTTATTTTTAAAATTAAGAGATTAAATTAAATACTTTAATTTTATAATAACTAAATTAAATAAAATGAAATGAAATACCAATAAGTTTAATATTATTATTATTATTATTATTTTGATACTAAATAAGTTGTATTTGCCGGAATCAGAATCTAGGGGTGAGCAACGGGTGGGTTTGGTTGGGTTCGGGTTAAAAATGTCCAACCCGTTGTAAACCGGCTTTGAAAAAATGTGACCCATATCCGACCGACTGAACTTTCGATTTGAGGCGGTTCGGGTTGAAACGGATTCGGATTTAAGCGGGTGGGTATAATCGGGTTTGAATTTTTTTGTAAACCAATTTATCTTAACGAAGATGAAGCTTAAAACGATAAAAAATATTTTTAAAATAGTGTATAAAAATAGAATGAAGGTGACAATAGATGGTGTAAATAGATTCGTAGTTGAAACATTTACAAACTAAAGAAGCAAAAATAAAAGATAACAAAATTCATAGTTGTTACATGGAAAAGAAATATAAAGTTAGATTACAAAACCATAAGAAATCACAGTCACACAAAATGTACTCAAAATGGAGATAAGAAGATGGAAAAGAAAGACAAAGAAAGAAGCAAAAAGATAACTCTAAAAATGGACTAGTGTGTTGAGAAGTTGAATGAGGAAGGAGAAGACAAAATAAATATCTAAGTTATGAGAAAAAGGAAAAAAAATAAGTTACAAATTGATGGCTATATTATACTTGAAATAAAGACTTTTAAATTTGGACCATTGTTGTTTAGTTATACAAAAGTAATAAAAATTTAAACTTATCTCATTTTCAGTTGGGTTCGGTTTTTAGCGGGTTTAAAAATTCAAAACCGAACCCGCCCAATATAACCCGTATAAAATCAAAATTTTAACCCGATTTATCCATAAGACCTGCCCGAACTCACCCAAAAGAAATATTTTTTTTCGAATTTTTCGGGTTCAGTTTGGGTGTCGGTTTAATGCTCAGCCATGAGAATCCTTGAAGTGGGTAAAAGGTGTGTCGCTGTTGCTCGTCCCACATTTGCCACGATCTCTGCAATTTGCCGATTCCTTTTGTAATTTTTTTTTTCTTTTGGTGGTTTCAGCAGAAAGCCCCACAAACCTATTAAAATGTAATTTAGAAAATAAATAATTGTGGCTCACGCTCGTGTGGGGCCCATCGGGTTTTGTTTTCTGACTTTAGTTAAGGGAAGATGACCTCATCTCTTCTTGACAATATTGTTTTCGTATATTATTCATGCGACCAGTACATATAGGAACGTAGTGCGTATTTACTTTATTATGAAAAAATAATTAGATTTTAGTAGGATATCAATATTAAAACATCATATTAATTTTTTTTATTACTTTTGTTCAATTTGAATAGGTAAGGAACATGTGTGGGTGAGGTCACTTGGAAGAATTTCTATATTTAATAAGAATCAGAGTTGGAAGCCGAAGGTGACTAAGATTAATAAAGTTCCATATAATTTTTAAATAAGTAAATTTATTTTTTAAGTACGTTATTAAGAGTTTCATCGTGACTATGCCTATGAAGAATTTTTAGCAGGACAAACAAAAGTTACATTGACAATAACTTAATAAAGTTATTTTTAGTATAGGGTCAAACTCATTGTTTCAAGTTATTTACTTTTATTATTGAAAAAAAAAATAGAATGTTGAAAATGAGATTTTTATGTAAATTATGATTAGTTAGCGACTCTCTTTTTTTTTTTTGTGAAAGTGAGATACAGAGAAAATATAATAAAAAATAGTTTTACATATATGATATTATTTTCACTCCATATGATTTAATAGATATGATATAATCAACTAAAAAAAAATTGATCAAGAACCAAACGCAAATTTCATGTTAGTTCGTCTCATTTCATGATTATTAACAATTTCCCATTGTCAATGACGTGAGGGAAGCTTCGTGCGCCTCCGCATTGACTCAGTCATGCTCATGCATTACATGTCGAAAGAAAGTCGAGAAAATAAAAATGATTTGATTTGCATATTATGACGTGTGATTAGGAGAATTTCTTCTAATTTTATTACCAAATGTCCAAAGATCTCTACTTTTTGCTATGAATCTTTACTAAAAAAAGTTTGAATTTGCCATTGATTTATGAGAAAGTAGTAGTATACTTTAGGATTAAGTATTACTATTATAAGTACATGTTTCATTGACAGAAGTTATGTATGTCGGACATTAGTACTTGTTTATCATTAGTTTGTTGTTAATTAGAGTTTAATTCATGTAAAAAAACATTTTCAAATTTTAATTCAATTCAAAATCTTAATTAAACTGATTTAATAAAACGATTTTTCCATCTCAATATAAAAAAATATATATATTCAAATGGGATTGGTAAGGCAAGGATATGTACAGATTTAAATGAATTTCAAATGTCTCCATTGATCTGTTCATCATACAGGGAAACGAGATTGCAGTTTAGATGTGAGATTCTCAATAATGTTATGAATCGAAGTCTCGCATTTTTATAGATTTGGGAATAATTTGGAATGATTGAAATGAAATCAAAATTATAGACGTGAAAAAAAATTAAAAAAAAGTGGTCTATTTCCCAATTGAGGTGTTCAACATTTACTTATTAAGAAATTCATATGCAAAATGACATTAGTGGGTTTGCGTTTCCGAGTGAAAATGGTAAACTGGTAGCAGCGAGATTCCCAATCCAATTGTTTAAAGGTTAAGCTTTAAATAATAATAAAAAATGAGAATAAGAATCCATCCCCACCAAGTGTTTATTAAATTGGTTTGACGTGAAAGAGATCCAGAGGGTGATGAAGCCATTAACGAAGGAGATCCAGCCTCCACCACAAATTTGACAACGACAATATTCGGTCTCATACGGCAACCCGAACCGAATCCTCAAAATGAAAACCAATGTCTCTTTCTCTGTGCTGGAAACATGACGTCCAAACCAATAATCAATAATGTATATATTACTTGCACATTCCTATTATTATTATTATTATTATTATTAATTGTTTGGCTTGGTTGTATACGGAACCCGGAGTTGGTTACTCGTTTCTGGATAACATAACATGTACTTCTGCATGTACCATGCTATTACTGTTATATTGTTGCTGCATGATAGCGAACAACAACATGGGACTAAGAATAAACATCATCAATGAACACTTTTACTTTTTTTTTTTTAATCACGTATATTTTTTATTAGAGATACTTATGTTTCAATCTGATATAATATCATTTACAGACAACAAAACTTTTTAGGACATGATAAAATAATTTAAACATGATATTTTTATTTTAGAATCGATATTTATCCTTTATTTTTTAAAACTAAAAAAATGTATGGTTATTCTTTTCCATTTCATCCAAAGAGAAAGGTAGTGTGTTGGAAATAGCAGATGATGGATGAAATTCATGGTTGATTCTGAATGTCTCTGCGTACCTCACCCTTGTGATCAATCCTTTCTAGACAAAAGGCATATGAGACATGAGCATCGCCTATATAATATTTGAGTTTGGTGACAGTTTTAGTAAAGTACGTCTCAGCTAGCAATGAAACTACGCAGCATGTTCTTGACACCGAACCAAATCTCAGCGGTGCCTTTATCTTCTTGAATTTGAAGATATCGTTCCTATCGTACTTATTTCCATTCATGGTTTGCATCGAAAATATATGAAGTTAAAATCTTTATCGATGAAATCTTTATCTCACTATTTGAAGTTTAATATTTAAATTTTTTAATAAATTAAAAGTAATGTCATATTTCAATAATTTAATGCAATATATATATTATATACATATAATACTCTTTTAACGGTTGAGAAAATTTTAAATGATATATTTAATATATTATATTAATATATATATATATATAGAACAACTTTTTCAATAAATACATGTAACAAAAATAAATTATACTAAAAAATACTTTTTATTGACTATCATTTATAACACTAAATATATCACTTAATATAACATAACAATTATGTAACGAAAATTATAAAAGATTCAAATACATCAAGATTATGATGTAACATTACGTGATTATGATACAATACTACTTGGACATCCATATAATAAATATATGTATTGGCAAAAAAACACAAAATAGTCCTTACAAATTTTTACTTGAAAATATA